AATTAGAGCATGGAACGGAATGATCTGTAACATAGGACAATTATATCTTCATAATAACCTAACGGGTAGGTTACAATTTACATTTTTGGCCTGCCTATATTGCCACAGCCAGGGCACCAAATCTTTCTACCTCCAGCTCTACCCAACACCGTAATTTAGGATTCAGTAATACAGACACTCCAGCTCTGTCCACACCCCTGCCAACAGCTCCCTTGATCTATGGATAAGTGGTATTGTGGTCCAACCTAGATTAAATGGAATGGGAAGAAGTTCCGTAACAGCCCTGGAGTGAGCTTGGAGTCTTTCCGTTATGACAATTTGGGAGCATGTTTAGACAAGACAATGTACTTTTTACATGTCTGAAAATTACTTAGAAAATTTCCTAAATTCAGAAGATGTGTCATTTTAAAGACAAAGGTCTTTTAAACAGCTTAGTGCTCACAGCACAATAATGCAATCAAATTTGGAAGATATTTGGGCAACAATCTACTTAAGAGTAGTTTCTTTTGAAAAACAAGGTTTTATGAAGTTTGTCATTTTAGGACTAAATTTTAATGAACATGAAAGTATGAACTCTTCCATTTTATCAAAATAATCTGAAAATGACTAGTAGTTTCAAAATAATTCAATTAAAAAAAAATTCTGTAACAAAGCTTGTCAGGGCATAGGATCTACCACTTCTAAAAAAGGCTAAACTGATTTGGCGGCTAGGATTCAGTAATGAAGGTCAGGCCTCTGGCATTTTTGACAGCAAATATTGCTTCTTTTCCTTCTTGACAGGGATGGGCATAGAGCTACTCTAGGGACTTGAGGACTTCATGGCTGAAAGCCACATATTCCTGTATTTAATAACACTGATTTCTTGACTAGGGTTAAACCCTGTGGGTAGGTGATTGGAGTCAGCATTTTCTCTTTAGGTTTCTAGATTGTGCCTTTGTTATTTCTCACTTCGAATGTAGTCCCCCTGGGATTACAGGAGTGTTGAAGCAATGTTGCGACACATCAGAACGCCGTGAAATACATGGACACTGTCAAATCATGAAAGATTCTCAAGGTAAGACACCTACTTCCAGGTAGGATAGTCTTTTTGCCCGCCTTGCATCCCATAAGCTAATTTTCACTGGTCCATCTACTATGACTTAGGAGGAATTGTCAAAGATGGCAGTGCTATGTTTTCCAGGAGCTATGTCAGTTGTTGACTGATCTGCAAAAGAGTTTTTCCTCCTAAGATCACACACTTGGTGGTCTCCATCATCAGGTGTGGATTGCTGGGGCCACTGGCCGTACCATTTAGCCCTGAGTTGACCAGAAGCAAAAGCCTTGAAGCAGCCAATACAGAAATCTGGGGGAAAAAAATGGAGAAAACAAGGAAAATAGTTGTGAATATTAGAACATTGAAAAGCACACCTAGAAAATAAATAATGACAAACTTCTTGAAAACATAAAATGATCCTAATAATTGCACAGAAACCTTGATATCTCAAGCATGCAAAATATAAATAAGAAGAGAATTGGGAGTCTCAAACTTTAATTTTCAGGTCCTGAGCTGTTGTAGTAAGGTGGACTGCTGAGATCTACGAAAAGAAATGTTCACTCAGTAGGTCTTGGGTGGATGCAGGAACAGGGTTTCCAAGCATCCTGAATCACCCTGACACAAGTGGTCCTGATCACACTCAAACAAGCAATGAAGACGTGATTGGACTTGGTGGTGAGACATAAGGCCAGCAGATAGCTGGAGGGCCTACCAGTCACTTCACTCACCTTATTTCAAGTGACTGTTTCTTCTCATAAATGACCCTCTCCTCTTTGTGTGCCAGGGTGACTGCTCTGTGGCGTGGGAGACGGTGGGCATTCTATTCATGTGGACTTGTCCTTGCACAGTACTTGAGCTCTGTGGAGAGGGGCTACTCTGGTCTGTTCTCTGGGCCCCGGTGAAGTGTGACCAGTGCGGCCTTATGTCCCAAGCCAAGCAGCTCTCTTGGTGATGTTGCTGGTTCAGTATGTGTTGGCCTCAACTGTGCAGAACCTGGCTGTAAGCCTTGGGAATAGTAAAGCATCTTCTGTTGAAGAAGTCCTCTGAACCAGGCTGAACTTATGCACTATACAACATGATATGTTCTATTTTCTTCTTAATTATTTTCCAGATATGCTACAATTTGGGTATTGATCTTGTTTTCAAAGCAACAAAAAAATTAAGATGACAGTGATTTGTCAAGCACTCAAAAACCTTAAAAGATTGTTTGTTGTTGTTGTTTGTTTTTTGTTTTGTTTTGTTTTTTGGGTTTTTTTTTTTTTTTGAGATGGAGTCTTACTCTGTCGCCCAGGCTGGAGTGCGGTCCTGTGATCTCGGCTCACTGCAACCTTCACCTCCTAGGTTCAAGTGATCCTCCTGCCTCAGCCTCCCGAGAAGCTGGGACTACAGGTGCACACCACTATGCCTGGCTAATTTTTGTACTTTTAGTAGAGCTGAAAACGGCCAGCCAGACTGGTCTTGAACTCCTGACCTCAAGGGATCCACACACCTTGGCCTCTCAAAGTGCTGGAATTATAGGTGGGAGTCACCACACCTGGCCTATATTTTTGTTGTTATGAAAAATATTACTACACTGTTGTAAAACAAATGTAACTTGCATCATACGTTATGGAATGTATTGTGGTGTTCCAAGTGACCTAATACAGTCTTCGCAAAAAGAAAAAAGAAACGATGTAAGTAATATTAATAAAACATACCCTTGATATCAAATTATGCCATTTAGTAACAGGGGGGCCTCATAGAACATCTCCCAAGCTATTGATTTTCTGCAGAATGTCTTCTGAACTCTTTTTTTTTTTTTTTTTCTTTTTTGAGACGGAGTTTTGCCCTTGTTACCTAGGCTGGGGCGCAATGGCACTATCTCAGCTCACCGCAACCTCCACCTCCTGGGTTCAAGCAATTCTCCTGCCTCAGCCTCCTGAGTAGCTGGGATTACAGGCACGCACCACCATGCCCAGCTAATTTTTTGTATTTTTAGTAGAGACGGGGTTTCACCATGTTGACCAGGATGGTCTCGATGTCTTGACCTCGTGATCCACCCGCCTTGGCCTCCCAAAGTGCTGGGATTACAGGCGTGAGCCACCGCGCCCGGCCCGTCTTCTGAACTCTCAATTCAACCATGACAGAATGTTAGCAACTCTAAATATGCTTGTCAACCAGTGTTGATATAGGGAGACTTACAGGCTATACACACTTTTCAAAGCATTTTATACAAAAACCACAGGTAATCATGCAAACGAGTAAACCTGGACCCTGACCTTTTACAACAATATACAAGATTTAACTCGAAATGCATCAAACAACTAAATGTAAGATCTAAAATGATAAAACTCTTAGAAAAATGCACGGGAGGTAATCTTCATAGCATTTGATTTAGAATCTTTTTAAAATTAGATATGATGCTTAAAATATTAAAACAAAAAATTAATTAAATTGGACTTTCTAATTAAAAAAAACCCTTCTATTTATCAAGGGATGCTGGCAAAAAAGTGAAAAGACATTTTAAAAATAGGAGAAAATATTTGTAAACCATATACAAATGACACAGAATGAATATCCAGAATATGGAAGGAACTCCTACAACCCACGAATAACAACCAAAACCAACACAACTCAAAAATGAGTAGAAGACTGAATAGACATGCCATTAAATACATAAAAACATGTTCAACATCACTAGTCATTAGACTAGTCATTAGAAAAATAGAGATCAAAGCCATAATAAAAGACTACTTCTCATCAATTAGGATGACTATTAATTAAAAAATACAGAGTGTTGGTGAGGCTGTGGAGAAATTAGAATCCTGCTGTATCGTCGGTAGCAATGTTACATGGTGAAACTGCTGCAATTTGGGATTTTCTCAAAAAGTTAAACATAGAATTGTTGTGCAATCCAGTGGTTTCACTTCTAGGTATACAGTGGAAAGAACTCAAAGCAGGGATTCACACAAAGTGTGTACACTAATGTTCATAGCAGCATTGTTCATAGTAGCCAGAGTGGAGGCAGGCCAGGTTTCCTTCAGCAGACAGTTGAATGGATAGACACACTGTGGTATACGAGTGCAATGAATACTTTTTCCTTTTAAAAGCAGTGGTGTTCTGATACATGCTACAATGTCCGTGAATCTTGGGGACATTGTGCTGGGTAAGATAAGTTAGGCACAAAAGCATCCGTTTTGGGCGGTTTGATTTCAATCAGCACCTAGATTGGGTAAATTCCTGGAGACAGGAGCGGAATGGAGGTTGTAGGGGCCAAGTGAAAGCAGAAACGGGATTTATCATTCCTTGGTGCGGGCTTGTGTTTGGGATGTGAAAGTGTTCTAGAGATGGATGGTGGTAGGGATTGTGCAACATTGTGGCGTGTTTGGTGTGACTGAATTGTACACTTCAAAAATGGTTAGGATGCTAAATTTCATGTTGTTTTACCAAACTAAAAGCAAACAGGTTGAAAAACTTGCAGTAATATCCTGAATATGATTCATGGAACGTCACAATCTCACCCAGATAATAAAAAATGTGTGCACCAAGTGCAGGCAAATAGAAAATGTGTGTGGACAGTGACTGTCACTAGGAGAGGCATTGCTGTGCCCACTTACTGGGAACAGCTCTCTCTTGTTTACTGCACTCGTCCTAAAACTGCTTCCACTATGACTTTCGGACAGGGCCCTTGTTTTTGCCCAGTATTATAAAATGAGTTACACACAGGTACAGCAAATGCTAAAGAAAACTGCGCAGAAGGAAGGACAGTAGTACGTAAAGACACATTACTGCAAACAAGCACCTGGTAACAGCTGTGTTAGTTGATAAGTGAAAATGAGCTGAAAGGCAAAGCCTGTTACACCCCAGCATGCCGGCTTGCTGCCTCGGTGTGGGCTTTTTCTGTATTTGTTGTGCCACTCACTGTTAGCTTGTTGTGTGTTTCAAACATTCCTCGTTTCAATTTGTGGAAAATTGTTGCCCAGTTACCAGTTTTGTGCAGAACATCTGATTAACAGGAACAAATGGTCAACATTAAGCATGTGCATATTATTTTCAACATTCTCCCTGCTCTAAAACTCAACTTAATATATTGTCCTGGGATAAAGGATGTCCCAGATATTAAACCGATAAAAACAGATCCTTCAGTTGATATTAGCCAAAATACCTAGAACGGCTTCTCTCCTTTAATCTCTTGCTCCTCAGACCCTTTAATCTCTTGGTCCTCAGACCTGGTAGGAGAAATTTTGTCTTAACATTACTTAGATTTGCTGAAACAAGTCCTTACATATGCATTCTTGATTAGCCATATATTCATGTATTCTTTATATTCTGATCCAGTTTTTTATGCATAAAAACCAAAGGTAGGTTCTACAGAGTTTTTTTCAACTAATTTTTGTAATAATAAATTTTATCAATTCAATTCTTTCTAAAAGCATTTGGTAAGAGTTTGCGACAATGAACTGGAACAAAAAGGAACTTCAGTATTTAAAAAAAAAATTAATATGAATTTGCTCTAATCTATGTCCATTTTTGGGCTGTACTCCCCTTTGCTTTTTGGAAAACTTCTACCTTAGCATACAGCATAGTTTGCGCCAACAGTTTGCATACCTAAAATCCAACCTGGAACGCTAACTCTTTGTTTCCTGCAAAAGGCTTTATTTGTGTTTATTTAACTGACTCTGGTCAGTGACAGCCTAATTAACTCCAGCTTTTGTTGTCTCCTGCTTCCTTTTTTACCTTCAGGGTGACTCTGTCACAAACAAAACAAAACAAGGCCATGATATCTAAGTTCCAGGGGGAAAAGGTAGGGTGTCTCAATAGTTGAATGTGTATCTGTTATCATCCAAGCCTGTGATATTCTGTAGGGCACATCTAGATCAACGTTGATATGGGTACATTCTTCTTGTGTTTCACTTTTCTTCATAAATGACATTGATTTGGCTCATTCATACCATATAACAAAGATTGAGGGAGTTACTCACGTTGTCAGATATGCAGGGAGATGGATGTTGACTCCCGGCATCATCCCTTACTTTAGACCCAAGTTTACACTATCAGGTAAATTATTTACAATGTGCTTTGTTCGCTGTTTCCTTATTTAATTGAAGACATGTATTTTACTGTCTCAGTTGATTCATTCTGCTATAACAAAATTCCTTAGATTGGGTAAATTATGAGTAATAGAAATGTCTTGCTTATCATTCTAGAGGCTGAGAAGTTCAAGATCAAGGTGCCAGCAGATGTGGTGTCTGGTGAGAGCCCCCTGCTTCAGAGATGGTGCCTTGTTCCTGTGTCCTCACCTGGCAGAAAGAGTGAATGTTACGTCTTTACATGGCCGGAAGGCAAAAAGTGCCAAATTTCCTCCATCTCACCCTTTCATAGGAGGACTGTTCTCATCCTGAGGGCAGAGCCGTCATGGGCTAATCACCTCCTAAAGGCCTCATTTTTAATACTGTTGCATTGGGGGTTAAGTTGCAACATGAATTTTGAAAGGCATATAAATATTCACAGTGATGTATTTTTGTTTTGGTGATTTTCAAGGGAAGGAGGTCATAGAAAAAACGGATTGATTTGTTCAGCCTTTCTTGAAAGTATTGAATTTTTAAACGAAGTCTTTGCAAAGAGTAGAACATGAATAGTCATGCAGATGCAAATTCTTGATGTTTTTTTTTTTTCCTCTGGAATTCACAAAATTGTGACTAAGGCTTTATTTCCTCCACAGCCTGCTTCATCTTTCAATTTCATTCAAGATGGGCTGTATGGAAATGTGAAGGAGCAATGTCCATGTCACCTTTTAGCCTTACACAAGTTGTGCAACTAACCTCACATCAGCTCATTGACTATGTTACTTGTGGAGTTTATATCGACATGCAGAGAAAACTTACTAGTGCTGACCTGTGTAGTCACTAATTCTGACAAAGGGAAGACTGGTCAATGAAGAGGTGAGAAATGCGCAGAAGCTGTTTTTTTTTATCTGCCCCCGGCAGCCTGTGTAACAGCTGGGTTGTTAACATGCAGGAAAACGGCAAAATCCCTGCAGTCTGCACAATGGTGAGAGTGAGCAGAGGGCACTCTTGGCGGCTGGTGTGAAACGTTGGAAGAACTCAGTGAGAAGCTTAAGTGCATGGGAAAGCCACAGAATAAATTTTTAAATTTGTCTATTTCTTTTTCACACAGTTAATTACATTTTTACCCTTTCTCTGCTCTAAAAAAAAGGGGGGGGCTGATTACTTGTTTTAATCTGTCTTTGAATTTAAATTTCCTTGTATATTCTCTTGAAAATCTGTCTTTTAAACAGATGTTCCTCACTCTAACTTCATAGAATAAGAGAAAAGCAAGCAAGAGCTTCACACTACTTGCCTAAAATTCCAAGGAGAAAAAAACAAGATGTCCCCACTAACAGTGGCCAGGCCTGTGGAGGAGGGTCTGACCTTTGAAAGTGTCTTTTAGAAGCATCTGAGTTTTCCTTCTGACGGTACCAGTTTTAAACAGTGAAGCATAGATCTGTAGCTGGAGAGGGACATTTGGGGGAAGAAGATATTCTCCTATTTCTATAAGGCACTTGGTAGCCTCTTGGAGTGGAGAACACTGCCTCATTGTCTGAAATAAACCACCCAGGAGCATTCTTTCCAACAGTGACAGGCTACTCATTCTTCAGATCTCATTTCCAGGGTTTCAAAGAATCTCTCCAGCATCCTTCAGATTAGGCAAAGGAAGGACTCTTACACTGATTCCTGCAACTTCTGGTGTAGCACTTGTGACAAAGTGTCCTTTGTGAATGAATTTGGAAATTTTCACTTCATGTTTGTGGCTCAGCCTGGAATATAATCACTATGAGAAAGAGATCTATAATCTTTTGTTTGTCATTTTTCTTGCCACAGTTAAATGTGGTGTGTTTGATAACATCTGCTCCAAAAATAATCGTAACTAATTTTACACACTGCAGGAATATTTTGAAAGCTGGAAAAGACATTCCCCTCCTGCAAGTCTTAAAAGTGTAGTGTGGCCTCCGCCTACTTTCTCCTGAAAATCCCGCTTCCAGGGATGGGAATCAATCCGACATTTATAAACAATGGGTACTCTGCTCTTGGGAGAAAGCAAAAAGATCATTCAGGGTGTGCATAGGACTGGGAAATCAGGAGAGTATTTTCTAAGCTATTCACAAGAAGAAATGCATATCATTAAATTTGCCTTATAATCAAAAAAACTAGAAAGCAGGAGAGCATTCTTAGATATCGCATGGAAGGTGGTCTGAAGTGCGAGATTCAGGGTGAAAGGTGGCTTTCCTCTGCTTGAAAGGGTCTCAAGGATATATTCCCTTGCCATGGCTGGAGGGTCCCAAAACAAAGGGAAACTGACATTGTTTCCTCAGCGCCCTGAGATGAGAGGTACAAGTCCAGAAGGACTGGGAGCTTTCTACGTTCACCTGGCTAAGCTAAGGGGTGTGGATGCAAAAAGCAGAGCTCCGTGAGACAAACAAATGTGTTTGTGAGCACATGCCAAAGGTTTATGTAACTCATCATGAACTAATCGTGGGAAAGACAAAGTTCAAAGAGAATTTAAGGAGCATGACTGGCAAGGGATGCCCCAATGCCATTACTATCTAAATTCCAAAACTTGTTCTTGTTCTCCAGGGAACTAGCTATTCTAGCTATTAAGGTCATTTTCTCTAGCAGACTGTAAAACTAGGATGACATCCATGTTTATATAGATTAACTTCTAACTTGATAGTGTTGTAAAATATCTGAACTCTTGCTATTGAGAATTGTTAGTTAAAAATACATTCCCTGACAAAATCAAAATGGTCAAATGAAGTCGCGCCAGTTTATCGGTAAAGGCTCAAATCAACTTACAGGAAAGAGTTCCCTCCGTCTCTCTCTGTTTTTCTCTGATATATGTATGATATATAAATATGCTATGTATGTGATATGGATGTAGTTATGATACCTATGATATTCATGTGAGAGAGGAAGATATAAATACATAGATATGGACAAATGGATATACATACATATAAATATGCAAGCCATCATTTTATCTTCATGTTTGGATAGACATATTTTAGCAGAAATTTGAACAAGGTATCTCTGAGGCCCTAACTGACTTCGATTTTCCACAAGGCAAAGTTTTCAAAGGTACCTAGTTTTAAACGACAGTACGGTCAGCTGATTTCCAGTATTTCTCCTGGAAATGGGGATGCCACTCCGTAAAACTAACAGGAAGAGCTGTCACAACTCTCACTGTGTCCCTTGCCCCACATGTCAGTTATAAATTTACAAGTAATTCTACTTAAATCCACTTTTAAAACAGTATGTCAGTCAGAAACCTGGTTCAGGCCATTAGCACCTTCATGGGTAAAGTACTTAAAATCAGAGGTGATGACCGGGGCAGAGGGGAGTTCCTGCGGCCAGTCTTTTTTCCTGACCAAACCAGAGCTCAGAACCTGACCTAATTCCTGTCTTTGGACCTGATGGAATGCAAGTCACCTCGTAAAGACCATTGGACTTTTAACGCTAAGTACTTTCAGCAAAAAGCATTTGAAAGGCCAACATTTTATTCACATACATTTCCATTATCCCTTCAAGTTTTCTGTGTAATTTAAGATAAAGATAGACTTTTTTTTTTCTTTTGGCTTTGGCCCTGGCTGGTAGCAGTGAATTCCTGCTCAAAATGAACACTATTAGGCAGCTTCCTTTCTTAGTTCACTGGGTATTTTTGAAAAAAGTACTTTGAGAAAAAACTAAAGCTTCAAGCAAGACAGCTACCAGGATTAGGGGTCACGGTGGCTTCCTCCATCGCTGGATACTCTCAGAAGGGTTCTCAGGAAAGCAGCCACGTCTGTCCTGCTTTGGCGTTCTTTCCCAGGCATGGTGACTGTGGGCCCAGATGTGATCCTTATCTGGTCATACAAGCCCTTTCATTACTCATATATGCAGATGATATTTTAAATTCTTCTGATTTTTTTTAGGGAGGAATATTAAAACATGATTAAAAATTAATTTGTGGGCTCGCTGAGAGTGGGGTTTAATTTGTGTTTTTATACACATTGATTACCACCAGGCCCAGAAGAGCTTGTATTCACGAAGAACCTGTTGGCTGAGCAGCTAGAAGGGAGCTTGAGTTACATGAGGAAATCTCTACTAGTGGCGGATTTTACTCTCTAGCAGAGGGATGTG